GTTTTGCATTTTTGACATGTTTTTGATGTGTTTTGTGGGGGGATTGACTTTGATGTGACTTTGAATGGGTGTGACTTTGACGCGACTTTGGATAGGCAAGACTTTGACGTGACTTTGAATGGGCGCGACTTTGACGTGACTTTGGATGGGCAAGACTTTGACGTGACTTTGGATGGGCGCGACTTTGACGTGACTTTGGATGGGCGCGACTTTGACGTGACTTTGGATGGGCGCGACTTTGACGTGACTTTGGATGGGCGCGACTTTGACGTGACTTTGGATGGGCGAGACTTTGACGTGACTTTGGATGGGCGAGACTTTGACGTGACTTTGGATGGGCGAGACTTTGACGTGACTTTGGATGGGGCGCGAGACTTTGACGTGACTTTTGGATGGGCGAGACTTTGACTTTGATGTGACTTTGACTTTTTGGATGGGCTTTGATGTGACTTTGACGTGACTTTTTGAATGGACGGGCAAGACTTTGATGTGACTTTGGATGGGCGCGACTTTGACGTGACTTTTGGGCAATGGGCAAGACTTTGACGTGATTTTGAATGGGCGCAACTTTGACGTGATTTTTGATGGCAAGCAACTTTGACGTGACGTGACTTTGGATGGGCAAGCAAGACTTTGTGACTTTGGACGGGCAAGACTTTGATGTGACTTTGACGGACGGGCAAGACTTTGATGTGATTTTGGACGTGATTTTTGATGGGCAACTTTGACTTTGATGTGACTTTTGTGACTTTGGACGGGCAAGACTTTGATGTGACTTTGGACGGGCAAGACTTTGATGTGACTTTGGACGGGCAAGACTTTGATGTGTGACTTTGGATACGGGCAAGACTTTGATGTGACTGGATAGGCAAGCGACTTTGATGTGACTTTGAATGCCCGCGACTTGGGCTAGGTTCACATCTGTGCAGATTGTGTTTTGTGCGATTTCACAGAATTTGCGTTTTGCAGTTTTGACATGTTTTGATGTGTTTTGTGGGGGATTGACTTTGATGTGACTTTGATGTGACTTTGGACGGGCAAGACTTTGTGTGACTTTGACGTGACTTTGATGTGACTTTGGGCGCAACTTTGAGGCGCGACTTTGTGACTTTGAATGGGCGCGACTTTGACGTGACTTTGAATGGGCGACTTTGACTTTGATGGGTGACTTTGGATGGGCGCGACTTTGACGTGACTTTGGATGGGCAAGACTTTGACGTGACTTTGGATGGGCAAGACTTTGACGTGACTTTGGATGGGCAAGACTTTGACGTGACTTTGGATTGGATGGCAAGACTTTGACGTGACTTTGAATGGGCAAGACTTTGACGTGACTTTGGATGGGCGAGACTTTTGACGTGACTTTGCATGGGCAAGACTTTGATGTGACTTTGAATGGGCAAAGACTTGGATGCGACTTTGTGACTTTGGATGGGCGCGACTTTGACGTGACTTTGGATGGGCAAGACTTTGATGTGATTTTGAATGGGCGCAACTTTGACGTGATTTTTGATGGCGCAACTTTGATGTGACTTTGGATAGGCAAGACTTTGTGACTTTGGACAGGCAAGACTTTGATGTGACTTTGGACGGGCAAGACTTTGATGTGACTTTGGACGGGCAAGACTTTGATGTGACTTTGGACGGGCAAGACTTTGATGTGATTTTTTGGACGGGCAAGACTTTGATGTGACTTTGGACGGGCAAGACTTTGATGTGACTTTGGACAGGCGCGACTTTGATGTGACTTTGAATGCCCGCGACTTTGATGTGACTTTGAATGGTCGCGACTTTGATGTGACTTTGGATAGGCAAGACTTTGATGTGACTTTGGACGGGCAAGACATTGATGTGACTTTGGATAGGCAAGACTTTGATGTGACTTTGGATAGGCAAGACATTGATGTGACTTTGGATAGGCAAGACTTTGATGTGACTTTGGATAGGCAAGACATTGATGTGACTTTGGATAGGCAAGACTTTGATGTGACTTTGGATAGGTAAGATTTTGATGTGACTTTGATAGGCAAGACTTTGATGTGACTTTGGATAGGTAAGATTTTGATGTGACTTTGGACGGGCAAGACTTTGATGTGACTTTGGATAGGTGCAACTTTGATGTGACTTTGGATAGGCAAGACTTTGATGTGACTTTGGACAGGGATGATGGACGCAAGACTTTGAATGCCCGCGACTTTGATGTGACTTTGAATGGGCGCGACTTTGATGTGACTTTGGATAGGCAAAACTTTGATGTGACTTTGGATAGGCAAGACTTTGATGTGATTTTGGATGGGCGCGACTTTGATGTGGATGGGCGCGACTTTGGTTTGACCTTGTCTACTTGAGTGCCAGAGAATGTAAAGTTGCATCAAAGTCAATACTTTCCTCTTGGCAGAAAAAAAATGCATCAAAAATGCAACACTTGCGTTTTTGGTGTGGCTCCCTTAATGTCTGTTGAACAAAAAAAAAAAAAAATACAATCTGCTGCGGGAAAAAAGTCCCTGACCCTTTAAAAAAAAAAAAAAAAAAAAAACCACACCGGCTCAAAATGCACAGATGTAAACTAGATCTATAGGAAATCATGTTAGATGGACTGTAGTGCGTTTCTGCAAACTGGAAAACACACTGATATCTGCATTAGTGTGAACCAAGTGTTAGCCAGTAAAACAGCTCCCGTTCAAGTTATTTTATTATTTTTATTACAGGTACTTATATAGCGCCATCAATTTATGCAGCGCTTTTACATATACACTGTACATTCACATCAGTCCCTAACCCTCATGTCTTTGGAGGGTGGGAGGAAACCGGAGTACCCAGAGGAAACAGGCACAGGGAGAACATGCAAACTCCAGGCAGGTGGTGCCGTGGTTGGGATTCGAACCAATGACCCTAGTACTGCCAGCCAGAGGTGCTAACCTTTTAGCCATTGTGCTGCCCTGTTCAGCTTTAAAGAGTGTAATCCAGACACTGAGATCCGTGTGATGCCACGACCTGGAACATTAGCACTGGTTTAAAGTGGAACTAAAGTCACAGAAGTACTCGCCTCACTCCAGCAATGCAGTGGTCAATTCCACTCTGGTTGTTGTCATCTTCTCCCTGGCTACTTCTAGGTTTTCAGTCTTTTGATTGGCCAGTTGGAGAATGACACCATCCTGCACATGCGCATGGGAGTCTGTCATTCCAACAGAGCCAGCCTGTGCCCGGAATGCACGGTGCGCTGCGCATGCACAGCTCAGTGTGCATTCAATGGAATACAGCAAGTGGGAAGGTAAGTGTGTGTTATTGCAGAGGAGACATAGCATGCCTCTTCTACAACAAAGAGCTGCCTGCTCACAGTTTTTTATTAGTCATGTCTAGTTCCACTGTGGAACTGAAGGCAAAATGTTTTTCTTAGTTTGGAGGGTTACTGTCCCTGTTAGTTTTTCTTTTTTGGCCATCTGTGTCCTATTGAGGAGGTTTCCCTTCACTTCTTGTCCTATAGCCATAAGAGGAAGTTAGAGGAAATCTCTGGTTGTCACCACAATTAGTGTCTCCATTAGAAGATGTTTCCTCTATTCCTGTTCAGGTGAAGACACAAAATGGATTTGTTTTCCTGTCTTGGTGATAACAGTCACCATGACAAATAGAGAGAGGGCGTGGGCCCTTTCATACTGATGCTATTTTCATGCTTTTCCATTGACTTACAGTGGAAGGTGCATTTTTTGGTGTGCTTTAAGAAAACTGCATCAAGGATGCAGCAGGCAGGATTTTCAAAGCGTAGCGCAAATGCAGTGCGAACAGTTACATTCAATTTAATTGGGAATAGTTTTCATACACTTTTGTCCCCTGGAAAAGCGTGGCAATAGCATACCGGTGTAAATGAGGCCTAAATCTCCCTAACAGTAAGGCTAGGTTTATACTGGCTGCATAGCTTGTTGCTCCTCTGAAAAGTGATCCATGGTGGATTGCTTTTCAGAGGCATATGACAGGTGGAAAGGAGGCGATGTGTTACCTGCTCGCTGCTTGTTTTAACCCTCAAAATGCCGACCCACCATGCCACATGGCCAGTTGTTGTGTGGCATCAGTCATTTGAATAGGTTGCATTCGGTGGTGGTATTGTCAACAAACACATCCTATGGGACTATTTTTGCTGCACCCACAGTGCGTGACAGTGTGCATTTGAGGCCACTCACCTGCATACATTTTAAAATAGGGCAAGTATCTGTGTCCATACAGCTGCTGAATTTCAATGCACTTACGTGGGCTGCCTACACACAGCACCTGGCGGCTCAAGACAAATAAATGGCCTCTTTACAGTATAGGGGCCTCAGCACTAATGTGAATGAGGCTTTATAGAGAGCAAAAAGCATGCAGGGTGGTTTAAAGAAGCCCTTAAAACAGATGCTCAGCATCAGATTGTCAGCTGGCATGAATTTAGAACGTTGTCAGCTTGCACCCAATCTATATCCTTATGCAGGTAATGTGATCCATGCTGTTGCAACCCTGACATATCTATATAAGTAATACAAAGGTCAGAGCTCAATCTTTCAATCTACAGCTTTTAACATACATATAAGTCATACATCTATACATGTGGCTGCCAACAATTTGTGTGTGTATTAGGGAACATAAGGAGCTGGATGTACAAACAAAACAAAAGTTCCTGATACATAAGCAAAAAATTTAGACCTAAAAGAAAAATTTACTTTTGTGAAGGGTTAAGGAAAATGGAGGGTCCGATCGGGACCACCTAAAAAACGAACAGGTGGACCTGATCGGACTGCTCATGTGAAAGGTGCCTTATGCTTGTGGTTTTGGGGGAGGAGCAGTAAAACCAGGCAGTTCAGCAAATAACCCGGTATTAAGTCCTGTTGACAATCAAATGTAGTTAATAAATTCACAGATGTGTAATTAAATCTTTAGTACATATGGAAAATACATCAAATAATATTTATTTTTAATGTCTTTGCAATAGCCTATGAGGTTTATATTTATCTTTGTACCTAGATCAGTGTCCCATGCAGTCCCTGCTTCGTCTTTCTTCCACTGGGACACTCCCAGCTTCCTCTTTACGGAGGGCGAGATGTCTATTCAACCAGTTACTGAATTATCGGGGTGTTATTCCTCAACCTGTCCTACTAAAAAGCCACACAACATCTACAGGTATGTTTTACAAATGCTGACCTCAGTAGGTCTGACACCTTACAAAGCATTTAAAAACTCGAGACTCAAGTGCTTTAAAGCCCAGCTCCTGCCATAACATGTTTATTCATTTTGGAACAAGTAAGGATCAGATCTCTTCTTATTCCTGTGTGTGTTCCCATTGGGGAGATATCTCCTCTCTTCTTCTGGTGACCAGGTGAATTTCCTTGACAGAAAGATTTGGAGATGCTGAGCTTCAATTTTCTCTCTTGCATTAGAAAAACCAATGCAATCTAATGGGTTACTAAAAGCAACATTCCTACATTTTTTCCATAATTTTCTAATGAAATCATTTTTTATTTTGCTTGGAAATACCTTAAAATACATTTTTTGTCTATAAAATGCTGCTCCTTGCTCTCTGTGGTAGACTCCGGACACCCCGACTGGGTATCTTCTCCAAGAAGCTGCTTCCCAAGCTCTGGCACATGAGGCAAGTGACTTTAGCTGTAGCTGCCCCAAAGAACTAGACAACTCCAGTTTTTGGAGTAAACAAGAAGGACTGCTTTATTATAGAAACACACTGCATTTATACAGAGAACCATCAGATAAGAGCTAATCACAGAGAATGCCCACCTCATACAGTCCGGTGCCCACATAGGAATACATTATACATATGAAGCCATTTGCTACAATGATAGTTATTTTGGGTATTCCTACTTGCCCTAGCCACTATACAGTTCCATGCGAATCTGGCTAGGGTCTGGTGAAACATTGACAGAGTGTCCGGATGGGCATATAAGTCAACAAGTGACCAGCTCCTTCTGGATATCTTTAAAACACTATAAAACACAGGGTTCTCAAGGCAGTGGTTCTCCTGCAGCCCCAAGTCCATGACACTCTCCAACTGCAGTGTTCTATGCTGGCAGAGCTTATTCACAGTCACGTACCTAATCAAAAGTGTCCTCATGCAGACCTGTATTGCAGATATGGGGAGGTGGTGTTTTGACCAGGTCTGTTATATTGCTGAATTGAACTCTTAATACCTATTGACCTGCACATAATAGGGCTCATTCACACGGGTATACCTGTTTGTACAACCATGCAAAGGACCATCTCCCACACAGGGTGCACAGGTTTTCCGTGCAGGTAGCCTGTTAAAATCAATGATAGACAGCCAGCTGCACAGACCTGCATGGATCTCCAAGTGCATTCTAAAATGCACATGAAGACAGACTATGTTCTGATCTGTGCATCAGACGCACACATCTAGGTGAAAGGGTCTCTTTGACTTTATTATTCCTACATTTTGGCCTTACCTGCGGTCCACATTTTCAGAGTAGACAGTTGGTAAGCAGACTTTCTCAGTCTCCAGCACCTGGATGTAGGTGTCTCATCCCTGCACCTCAAAGTGTTCTGGAACATCTGTTTCCATTGGTGGATGCTGGATGTGGAGCTCCTGGCATCCTGCTTTAACAACAAGGTTCACAGGTGTGTGGCCAGGAACATGGATCCTCTGACCTTCTCATTGGTGACCCCGTGGTATCAGTTTAGCTTGACTTATTCCTTCCCTCTAGTATGGATTCTGCCTCCCTTGCTTTGCAGGATTGAGGTGGAGAGAGTTCCAGCAACCCTGGTGGCACCAAACTGGCTTATACGAACTTTGTACTTTGACTCTTGAGAGATTCTGTATGGGCAACTCTTGAGGGACTGGGGTCTCTCTGACGCCATTATTCCTGCACTACAACAAAAGTTCTACCATAGGATGGAAGTTCCTACTCTGTGGACTGTATCCTGACTTTTTTGTAGTTTGGTCAGGATCATCCCTTGGCCTTAAGTACCCTCAAGTGCCAGGTTTTGACCTTGGATATTCTCTTTTGGAAACCTCTGACCTTAGTCATAAGGGGGGATTCCTTATGGCCATCATGTTGGCAAGATGTGTTTTGGAACTGCTTACGTTATTGTGTAAAGAGCCTTTCTTTGTTCTCTATAGGGTCAAGATGATTTTGCTACCTCTTTCTTTCTTCTTAAGATGGTCTCTTCCTTTCACCTGATCCAGGATATTGTCCTTGTTTCACTTTGTCTAGTTCTGAAGTATCCCAAATAATATTCTGTCCACTATTTGGATGCGGTTCGAGAAGTGCATGTTTTGTTTTGGTCACTGCTTCTATTCAAAACTCAGATTGTCACATACAGTACCTCATTGGAGAGCCTGACATGCAGAGGAAGGCCTCTCGTACAACTCCGACTCAAGGGCCACTGAGAGTGGGACAGCAACCACAAGAGCATGGCGGGGTATGAGTGCCTGATCAGTCTGGTAGTTTGCACAGAAGTGGTTGGCGCTTTGCTGGATGGGTGATGGCAGCAGAGCAGGCTGGCAGCAGGTGGCACCATGGAGCAGGCTAGTAGGCAGACTGGTAGTGGGCAGGTGGAACAGCTGAGCATGCTGGTAGCAGATGGCCCCGTGGAGAAGGCTGGTAGTAGATGGCACCGTGGAGCAGGCTGGTAGCAGGCAGGCTGGCAATGACAGGCAGAGTCAGACGAGCCAGGTCGGTAACAGATGGCCAAATCAGGCATAAATGTCAGGCTGAAGAGAAGTCAGGTCACATGCAATTGTTGGCAGCAGAGGAGGCAGATCAGACAGAGATAGGAGACAGGAGCAGAATCCAAAAAACAAGCCAAGGTCAATCACAAGTATCAAACACAGGAACAGCCACAGGAACACAGGGGGAGCTGCAGATCAGACAGCAACAAACTAGTGCAGCTGCCGCATTTATATGGGTAATTTGGTGCCATCATTAGTGGCGAATGCGCGCATGCCTGCATATGTGTGCACCTCTGCACAGCTGAACGGGCACCCGCAGGATCACACATGCGCATTCGCATGTGCCTGGACACTTTAACTGTGCTATGGCCAGTGCGTCCCTGACACAAAATATTCTTTTTATAAGAGATGCGCTGTGTCACGTTCCACTTTTTCTAGATGGATTAGGTAGTTACTACTAAGGCTTATGCCTTGAAGTGCAAGGTTCCTCCCTTCACTGTTTAAGACTCGCTCAACTCATTCTGTCTTGGGCTTCAGCACCAGGCATCTGTTTCTTAGATATGCAAGGATGCCACATGTTTCTCAGTTCACACATTTGTGAAGTTCTACCAGATAGATGTTTAGGCCTCTGCTGATGCCAGCTTTGGCAGTAAGGTGCTTCAAGCTGCTTTTTGAGAATGGGACATATTTCCTTTTGTTTTTGGGTCTGTCAGCATTGTTATTATGTTGTTCGCCCTTCTGTTATATTGCTTGGGGATGTCCCAGGTTGTATGATTAAAGGAGCCTGTGTCCTGTACCTAATGATTAAGAGAGAAGAATTTTTGACTTACCTGTAAAATCCATTTATTGGAGTATAGTACCAGGGGTTTCTGCAAGAGGTGTCCAGGGATTCCAAAATGTTCTGCTTTTGCAGCAGAATTATTTTACCCAGTGGCTGCTTTTGTGTATCCCCTGCAGGCTATAGCACTGTGTACTGCCACGTGGATTGATATCAGCCCAATGTTACTCATTGCAATCCAACGTGTAAGATTACCATTATGGGCCAGCCCAGCAACATGGGACAAAAGCAAAGGCTCAGCTCTTCAGATAAGTATTGTATCCGTGATATTCAGCCAAGTATTCTGCTACGCTCGTGTTTTTCTGTGTCCTAATATTAGGTGATCTCTCATACGTTCTCACAACCATCTTGCCATCATAATGCTTCTTGCATATTGCACACAAAATTACATATTTTGTCTGTCAAAATGTTACTAACTGTTTAATTTGAAGCACTTCACCATCAGTATATGACACAACCACATGGGAATCACCTAAATAACTACAGCTGGAACAACGGGACGAACCACACTTGAACATCCCTACCATATGCAACCAAGTCCTTTTCTGTTTCCTAGACTTGAACAATCTTGAAGATAGAATATTACCAGGTGTTAATGCCTTCTTAGCTACAAACTATACTCCTGTTGAGAGGATGTCCTTAAAATCAGAGTCTACCGGTAAGATGGGCAAATACCCATGCATATACCCCATTTTTAGGTTTGCGATCACGTACGAGATGTTCTCTTAAAGTTTTACTAAACCCACAACAGTAAAATCAGTCTGTAAATGTAGAAAAGCATGCTTGTTATACTCCCTGTGGAACCTAAGGGGTTAATCCTCCATATTGTGTAAAAAGGATGTTTGATCCTGTCTTCGCTGATCCTCCCCTTCTTCCAGTGTCTACCAACTATATACTGATAGAATATAGGCTAGGGGCACGCTTCACATACTCAGTCTAGTGTGTATGCTAGAGAGGTTTTTTCTTCTCCTTGGGAGAGTGCATGTGATCAGCACAGGGCCAATCAGCACTCTCCAGACAGAGGTCAGAGGTCCTGCATCCTGCTACAAGAGAATGAAAACTCCTCCTATAAGGTGTAACCAGTGCTCTACTGGACAGCGATACAAGTCACAAGACTGCTCTAACTGATGATGAGAAAAGATGTTTAGCAGTTTATATTTACTAAAATAATTGCATTTCCATGTTCTGTGCACTGTGGGAGACCAGATATAGTGAATGCAGGGTCCTGGGTTTAACACTTTAAGGTTGTCCTTCCTTCATGATAGGCCTTAGCAATAGAGGTTTTCTGCTATTCAAGAAAACTTCTATGGTGTAACAATTCCGTCCCACACTAACAAATTGTCCCTTTGGAGTAGCTCTTTTGACAAGGCAAGGTGACAGCTATCAGCACAGAGAAATGAATTCTGAGAAATTGACTTCTAATGTACTTGTGCATAGATCTTACAAGCCATGTTAGATCCAGGAATTGATGTGGGCAGACTGCTCTTTACCTGTAAACTTAAGATTGTGCTCTTTCTCAATAAAATATCCCAACAAATCTGCCAAAGACAGATTCCGGTATACAGTGAAAATCAAGTCATCACTGTACCAAGGAAAGAACTTTACCTGATTCCTGTGGGGATTAGTATCTCCAAAGACATG